GAATATAGAATACAGAAGAAGATGCTGGAACACTGAAGGGGGGGAGGGAGCTGGAAACATTAAAAACGTCCAGCCAAAAAGGAACGATAGTTAGGAATTATGGCAGAGAGACTGTTAGAGCAACGAAGACTATGGGGTCTATTCACTAAGCTGCTGTAGGCAGCCGAGTGAATGACCGACCTGAAGTGAAGTGAGCCGAACACTGTTCGGCTATTCACTTCAGGCTGAAATCAGCCGTACATCGGTTTGCTTCACATGGCATCGGGTCGGCCAAACATGCCTGGCATGTTCGGCCGACCCGAAGTGCAGCATGAGTTTACGGGCTATAGGGAATGGCCCGTCCAGCACCCCTTCGGTTCTACTGAACCGAAGGGGTCCTGGGGCCGAAGCTAGCCGAAGGATCGGCCGAAGCTACAGCTAGATCCTTCGGCAGCTTCGTGAATAGACCCCCTATGATACAGTACACTAGGCTGCATCTATATCCAAAATAGCACTTAAGATGCACTGACCCTTTAACCCTTTAGCTGCCAGATCCGTTTTTTGCATTTTCGGAAACACAAATAATAAAATGCACATTTAAGGCCTGAAAATTGATTAAAGCCCTCAAAATGGTATGTTGGTATGTAGAATAAAATGATAAAATGGTAGAATAAAACGGAGGTAGTTTCAATTTTTTATGTCACGCAAAATTAGTGGAATCGTTTATCAAATTTTCTGTAAAAAAATGCATTCAAATGAATTTTAGTGCACGCAAACACAATATAATAACCAATCTCACTCTGATGTGTGTGACGATACATATGTGTGAAGCAAACACCGTTTTCATATGTAGGTGCACCCAACGCAGTTATTGAATATAATTACCATCCCCAAACTTCCACTCACTGCGTCTAGGTAAGGAAAGGATAATGCCATGCTACCTCCTTTTGAGTAGCCCAGATCTTGGGAGAAGAAGATGCTGCACTGTGCTGTAGCATCATCCCGCAAGATTTGGGCCACTCAGTATTTCTCAGATTTCGCTGAAGTGTGACAACACCCCCTGAAGTACAAAAGCCGGGGGAAAGGTAAGTAAATTTTTTACATCCCTCTTCTCACAGTTTTTTTTTTGTGCAGCTTTTTGCCATTGCCATGGGTTTAGAGAATACATACGTGGTTCTTACTTATAGTGTCCAGGCCACAAATTTAAAGAAATAGCCTATTTCCTACACTGCCCACCTTTAGGCGATCCTTAAAAACTCATCTCTTCAGGGAAACCCATCTCAACATAATAACTGTCCCTTTACTTCTTCCCATAACTCAATCTAAACAATTATTACCTTTTGTATCACTTGCCCCTCCTATAGATTATAAGCTCTTACGAGCAGGGCCCTCCTAACTCTATTGTACTGAAATTCGATTGTATTGTATATTGTACTATAACTGTACTGTCTCGCCCATTTTGTAAAGCGCTGCGCAAATTGTTGGCGCAATATAAATCCTGTATAATAATAATTTGAATTTAATGTATAGTAAATAAAAAAAATAGGAATTTGGGCTAGTCTCCTCCTTTCTTTCTTATTTCTTTCAGGGTAAAGTCTGTCTGGATATTCTTTTAGAAATACATCCTTATGTGTTTAAAGTTGGGTACAGTTTGAATTTCGTAACGTGGTTGCCGCTGTCAGCACCCTTTTGCCTGGCATCACTTGATCAGCTGATTAAAATAGCCAGTTGGAAAATTCTCGGCCTAATGGGGGTAGCAGTCAATCAGCTACTAGCTCCGTTTGGCCGAGAATTTTCCAATCAAACAATGCAAACAGAAAGGGATTCGTCCATCAACGCTTGTAAGTGTTGATGGAGCAATCTGTTCTATTTTTTTCCTTTAGCCTGTGGGTCGAGCAAAAAAATAGAACCATGTATACTCCACTTTAATGTGATGTAGCAATTCAGGGGGTGATGTTTAGACTCCTTTCACACTTTGGCGTTGCATGCCACACACCTGTAGTGCCATTACTTGCTAATAGCACCCCAAACGCAGCCTGTAATGAACGTTTTTGCCCAGGCATTCACACACGTCAAACACAAGCAAACGTGTTGTCAAAAACATGTGAAGCTCACAGCTGAAAATGCCGCATTGAAATGAATGGACTGACACATGGCAAATGCGCACAAAAGTGATGCAGGTGTGCACTAAGTGTAAGCTGGACCTTAAAGTGCTTTCATTGCGGAACAATAAATGTGTTTTTTTAACTAGCTTCTTGTTGTTTTTCTGTTCTTCGGCAGTCTGTGAATTGTAGTAGTGACGCATTAGAGGTTATTGAAAGTTCTGTTTTATAGTATTTATATACACCCTGTGACTCCAATTCACATTCGCTTTTCCTTGCATTGTTAGATCTGCTTTAAAGGCTAAGTTTATGCTTTCAACCATGTTTCATGTTATATGCATATATAGTGTGTAACATAGAACATGATGCAATCCCCAGCCCTCATCTCAAATCCCTTCCACTTACCTGAATTGTAGGGCTGCCTTATACACTTAAATTCGGAATGGCTGTGCATGGCAGCCACACTTCACACTGCTCGATTATCGTACGAAAACCCGATCGCATACGATTATCGTACGATAATCGTGCAGTGTATGGGCACCTTTATACACTTAAATTCGGAATGGCTGTGCATGGCAGCCACATAATTTATTTACTAATCCATTCACAGGATCTGTGAATGAAGACTACAAGTCCCACCATGCAAGCCTGTCATAAAGGAAAACCTTTCTGTAATTTTCCTTTCCTGGCGCCTATACATGGCACCATACTTTTGATCAGAGGTATGCTGCCATGTAGTAGGGTTGCCATCTGTCCCAGATTCTACTGGACAATCCAGGTTTTGAGCTCTGTATGTGCTGTGTCTGGGTTTGAGCTGGCCTGAAACTCGGAAATAGCACATACAGAACTCAAAACCCAGATTGTCCAGGTGAATCTGGGACAGGTGGCAACCCTACCATGTAGGCACCAGGAAGATGCATGCAATGCATTGTGGGCTCACATGCAAAAAATTAACAAATGCACTTTTTGTATCCAATGTGGATGCATTTATTTTTTGCAAAAGGCAGACTCAGCCTTTAAAAACCTTCCAAAACCAGTCCTATTTCTGATCAGATGGGTAACTTGCTGCACTGCACTATATTTATACAGAGTAATAAGTAAGACACAGAGCTGTAACTGGGATCTACACAAACACTGTACTTTCAGTGACCACAAGCTCCCCCAGCAGCACTCCCACTTCACACAGCTGAGATCTACACAAACACTGTACTACCACATGCCAAAAACACAAAGGATGCAGGCATTTTGATCCTTCCAGGCTACTGTTGGGCATGTGTTGATGACGTCACGACTAGGAAGTAATCTGACAGTGGATTAGAACCACGGTGGTTAATAGCAGCTGTCAGTGGCAAACAACATCAGTTCTGATCTCTTGTAGTCCGTGTCTTCTCCTACCTCACATACTGAACAGGTTTGCTTCCATGATTTTATGTCTGTCTCCCTTGTCGGTTCTGCTCACTGACAGCCTTATGCTGTGATGTGCAGCCTTTATTTATAGAGATGTCCTGCTCTTTGTTTTCTCAGCCTGGTACACAATGCCTATTTACTAGATCATGTTTAGATCTGTCCACATTGTGAGAAATACAGATCAAGTGACGCAGCCTTTTCTCTCTGCTGCGTGTGGAATGCATGGTGGTGGTGCTGTGATTCAATGCAAAGGGCAGCATTCATCAACCACATAACCAGTATGGACGTTAGAAAAATATATATCAAGTTTGTTATGTACAATTACTCAAGGACATAGCACAATAGAATCACTTAAAGCTGAACTCTGGGCTGCCCCTGCACTGCAAGGGTTAAATGCTCATTTAGGTCTAGTGTATCTGGTAAAAGGATTTTTACTTACCTGATCCCCAATTCCACAGGCTCCCTCCAGGATACAAGATCGGCACTCACAGCCTCCCCCATATTCCCTTGGTTGGAATCCTGCTGATGTCATCAAGCACAATGGAGGGCCCATAACCATGCATTATATGTGAGGACACCGAGGGACAGATTAAAGGGTTGGACGTAGAGAGGACAAGGAGAGCACTGACTGCTGGGGGAAGCAGGGACCAGGTAAGTAAAATTGCTTTAACCGATACTCTTGATCTAAATGAGCATTTAAAGGAGAACTATGGGGTCAGGGCTTTTTTCCCATTGTTCTCCTTAGGGTAACGGGAGGACACAAACTAGCGTCCTCCCGTTACCCTAAGCTCAGTATACCGCGAGCTACAGCTCGCGGTATACTGAGACGCCGCAGCCGGAGCGGATCCCGACATCGATGTCGAGATCCGCCCAGCTGCGTGAGTGACAGCTGGCTCTGCCTATCTAGAGGCAGAGCCAGCTGTACCCGCCCCCTCCCCTTCTGTTCCGCCAGTCAGCGCTGGAGGATCGGAGGGGGGAATCCATCCCCTCCCCTGTCACGGCAGAGAGCCATGAAAGGATCGAGAAGTGAGCGAACACCTCACCCCTCGATCTACTGAGCCGACCTGTGACAGTCTCATTGTCACAGGTCGGCTAGAACTATGAGGTGAGTGAAAAGCACTCACCTCATAGTTCTCCTTTAACAAAATGCATAATCATTAGAATGTATGAATAAAGCATTAAAAACCAAAACATTCTAAAAAAAAAGCATGCAAATGTAGACACACGAGTTTGAATGGAGACTCAAGGTGGATTGAACAATTGTATTGAATCATTACTGTTGTTTTTTCATTCGTATAGTGTACTTGATTTCATACTCCATTTTATTTACCTCCCGGGAAAGTTGCTGTATTTAAAGCAAAACTTTACTTGCTGGGGGCCCCCAGAGCTCTGCTCATGATGTGCAAGCATGCTCCACAAATGCCGAAGCCCATATTTCCAAGGCCTAGTTGTAATATGCTGCCTTTTCCATGCCATCATTTTGCATATTAATAAAATGTTTGTTTTCAGTTTAGAACATGGCAGAAGATTCCCAGAGAAATTTCCGGTCTGTGTATTATGAGAAAGTTGGATTTCGTGGAGTAGAGGAGAAGAAATCCCTGGAGATATTGCTGAAAGATGACCGGTTAGGTGGGTACAATGAAAAGCAGAAGAGAAAAATAAATTGGTATGTAGCTTCATAAGCGGATGCAGCAACACAATCATGTCTCACATTACTTTGATCCGCAAACTCCAGATGTAAGCGAAAAAGGCTGAACTAGGATGTAAGCAATGACTGTTTAGGGAGTGCACGTGGAAATGAATGCCTTTGCCCATCTGTACATTGACATATACTGTATATTTACAGGGTTATTCACTAAGCTGCCGGAGGCAGCCGGGTGAATAACCGAGCCGTAGTAAAGTGAGCCGAACAAAGTTCGACTATTCACTACGGCTCAGTACGGCTGATTTCATCGGCTGCACTCCGGTCAGCCGAACATGCTCTGTGGGTTCAGCTGAGCCGAAGTGCAAAGGACTTTGACTCAGCCAACATCTGGATCGGCTGAGCCGAAGTTCCGGCAGCTCACTCGCTGCTGTTTACCCCTATTCTCATAGGGGCCAAACGGCAGTGAGTGAATAGCCGAATGCCGCCGAGTGGCATTTGGCTCGGCTATTCTGCTTGGTACCTCCGTGGTACCGAGCAGAATAGCAAATGTGAAAAAAAAAAAAGTTGGAAAAAAATGTTTACAAATGTAAATAAATAATACATTTAAAAAAAGAAAACAATAATAATGTAAAAAAAAATTGGGTGGAGTTAACAGTGACAGCCAGCTCCGTCCAACTGTTTCCTATTGGCCGGCACCTGCATTGCCGACCAATGAATAAAAACTGGGCGGAGCTGGCTGTGACGTCACGGCCGGCTCCGCCCAGCTGTTATTGTTTAATGACAGATCAGCATCCCCAGGTCATTTGGGGACGCTGATCTGTCATCACAACTGGGCGGAGCCAGCCGTGAGATCAAGGCTGGCTCCGCCCAGCTGTCATTTGCAAGGCGTTCACCCCGCTTCGGCTTTCACTTCGGCTCAGTCGAGCCGAAGTATATGCCTTTGGCTCGGCTGCCTGTGGGAGCTGTAAGGGCTATAGTGAATAGCCCGCACAGCAGCCCTTCAGTTCGACTGAACCGAAGGGGTCCTGGGGCCGAAGCTACTCGAAGGATCAGACAAAGTAATGGCTCGATCCTTAGGCTAACTTTGTGAATAACCCTCTTAGTCTTTTAAACAATTAAATTGGATATAAAATGTTTGATATTCTTCAAATAACCAAATATGATTTTTCAAAGAAATATTACACTGTTTAAACTTTTTGAAAACTTGTTAAAAACATTTTTGAAATACCAGTTGCCTGGCTGTTATCCATATCCAGTAGCTATAGTGATCTGACTTTACTTGCTACATTCTTGTTTTGGATGAGGAACTTTAAAGAGAGGTAAAGACAAACCTTTTTTTGGCAAATTTCTCCATCCACGCTAAACAGCATGCATCAATCTCCCGATGTGCCACTGTCAGAATACCAGAACAGTAACGGCATCTGATTGGCTGCCATCACTGTTCACCCTGAAAATTTTCAAACCGGCTCCTTTTGGTTTTTTTTTTTTTGATCGAAGGGTGCTGACAGGGCCACCCACTGCATCAGTGTGTATGTCCAGCTTTACTAATGTGCTTCTATGACCCAAAGTCAGCAAATAGAAGTCTTTTGCCTGCAATCACCTGACAGCACAGAACTGTTTTGCAGCCGAGAGGATCCCGACCTTGTTGTCAGGATCCCCCCCAGGTCCCTAGCTGACAGCTGCCTTTACCTGTGTGCTTGTGGCTTAGAGCCAGAGCCAGCCTGTCCGGAAGAGAGAAGCTGATTGGTTGCCATGGGCAACTGCTCCAGATTTTGTCTGCTCCAGTTGTGATAAATTGTTGTCAAAGAGGAAGTTTGGAGCACACTATAATTCTGACACACTAAAGGTGCCCACACACCTTGGGATAATCGTACGATAATCGCGGGAAATCCCGCGATCGTACGATTATTGTAAGGTGTGTGGAAGCCGTGGGACCTCTACTACTGTAAGGTCGCTTGACCTTTAACTTACGAACATGTTCGAAAACCCGCCGAGAATCGTACGATTTTCGGCGGGTGTGTAGCATGTTCCTAAGATAAAAGCCGGGCGGGCCGGTGTGCACAAGCGCACACTGCCCGTTCGGCATTGCGGTCATCGGAAGCCCGCCCCTCAGGGGGCGTGGCTTGCGATCATCGCAAGTACGATCTGCCTGTCCAAGATGGGCAGATCGTAAGTTTTTTAAATTACTTTACAACCATCGCAAGACAAAAGTCTTGCGATGGTTGTAAGGTGTGTGCCCAGCTTAACAGTTTCTTTTCTGAACTTGAAGCATGGATAAAACCTGGGGAAATGTGCATGTATTGCAGAGATGTACAAAATATGTTTGTTTTTATTTTTATAGTACTTTGATATACACTTCGAGCCAGAGATAGCCAATGAAATATAATTCAAAGATGGGAGTCAGCAATGGCAGCTTTCATACTTCTTTCAACAAAGGTTTCCATTAACATTGCAATTCCTGAGTTATCAGAAGATGAAAATTCGTTTGATAATCTCTATCAGAAAAACTGTTGATGGTTCTAAATATCGCTCTGTGTCTGGGAACTGGTGTTGATATTTATAGCAGCATTTCCCAAACCTGTGTCGGCATAGATCAGGGGTAGGCAACCTTTGCTCTCCAGCTGTGCTGAAACTACAAATCCCATAAGGCATTGCAAGCCACAGGCATGACTCCTAGAGGCAGAAGCATGATGGGATTTGTAGCCTGCACAGGTTAAGTGTCTCAGCAGTGCTGGTTATCTGCCTGTGTACAACAAAACATTTTGCACTTTTGGTGGATTTTGAGGACTCCTTATGGAAACAATATCACCGTGTTACCATAGTTGCGAACATTTTCAAATTAAAATGATTTCTAGAACCGCGGAGTCTGCATACCCTAGGTCACTATGACTGTAACATCTTACAGAACTACCTTATTTATAATTGCCAGTTGTCTTGCCTTGCAGCTGTTGCATTAGGTGTAATTGCTATTATGATTATTATTACATAGGATTTATATAGCGCCAACAGTTTGCTCAGCGCTTTACAATATAGGGAAGACATTACAATCACATTATAATTCAAGACAAGATGGTAAGGAGGGCCCTGCCCCTGAGGGCTTACAATCTAAAAGGCATATGTAATAACATAAAGGATAATGAAGTGTAAGAGGAAAACAAACCTTGAAAGAAAAATTGACAAATAGGGGGACACTGTGGGCAAACAATATCTAGAAAAGTCATTAGAGTGTATTTCAGTTCACCAAAAAATTTATTTTGTCAGTCAGGGATTATGGTGGACAGATTTCTTCCCACCCTGCCCCCTGTAGCTGCAATGAGGGGTCCTGCGCGCCCTGCTTGATTTTTATATTATAAAGAATACAGTAAGAGGAGTGGAAAGACCTCAAGAAGGAGGAAACAGAACCAGCAACTGTGGTAGAGTCTCTAAAAGATTTAAAGTGGCGGCAGGTGCCTCAGTCCACAAGTCTCCACCAGTTATGGAAATATCACTTTGGCCTGGATACCCTTTTTAAAGGCTTGTAATCTTTTTAGCATAGTTCAAAGTAGTAAAGGTTTTCCAATCAGAACCTGCCAGTTACCGATATATTCTTTTAGACAAAGACTACTGTATTTCCAGGATGTAAATGAGGCTTTTAGGTTTTCTTCTTGCACAGTTCTGTCATGTGACATATTAACCTTTTTTGTCCACAGATATTGAAAAGATTTGTACCTTCAGTCAGAGATTTCCTCTTCCATCCATGTACCGAATTCTCGTATGGAAAGTACTTCTTGGTATGGATAACATTTTCAAAGTTCCTTTTACAATATTAAAAATGAGTAGGGATGAGCTCAGGTTCAGATCAAATCTGGTCCAAACCTGAACTCCTCCGAACGTGGAAGGAGTCTCCTTCTGCTTCCCCCCAATCAGCTGCGGCTGGGAATTCCCACACATAAGCAAAGAGGCAGGATGCTGTGATGTTATCCACCTTATATGACCACATGGCTATATTTGGTCAGTGACATTAGCACAAGCACCCCCCCTTTGTTTATGTGCAGCTGCAGGGTGGCGAGTGCCCCTGCCTACATCTGCTCCATGGTACTTCTAGGTTTAGACTGAGTTCGGTCCTAACCTGAGCTGATCCCTAGTTGTCAAATGTAAGATGAAATATAGTAGACTTCACATACAATAACTGTCTGAAAGTTAAAATGTCTGTATTGTTGACAGCAACTAGTCAGGTTCTTCCATTTTGGAAGCTGACAGTTGTTGTTTGTCCAGGGCAGCACCCAAACACTTTTGATGCACAAGGCCCTTTAAAAACAAATGATGTATTTGACTGAAAGCTGCAGATTTAATGATGTCATTTGAAATCACACTTATATGAGATTTTAGCAATTAGGTTTTCATATATTTAAAATAAACTGCAGATCACCTGCTCTATTGATTCTGCGCTGAAGCCTCAGCCTTGTTTCTTTCATGAATATTAGCAGCATTTTCCTTATCCTATTGGTAGGCTTGAGAGCAAATACAGAACAATCCTAAAGCTGGAGTTCTACTTTAATCCTACTAAGGATTAAAGTAGAACTCCAGCTTTACAAATCCACAGCTACTACAGTGTATTACAGCGTCTTCCAGGAACCTCCTACAGTCACTATGCAGAGGGATTTCCCTGGTCTGTTAAAACACAGAGGATGCCTAGTATTTCTCTCAATGAATACTAGGCATTCTCTGGTTGAAAGAAAGGTGATGAAGTTGCTTGGCATAACAGCTGTAGCAGTGACCAGGAAGACACTACTACACTATAGTAGCGTGGCTACTACAGTGTATTGTGGATCCCTGTGGCTCTGCCTGGGATTTTAGATAATTTTATATATGCTGGAGTTCTGCTTTAATCTCTCAAACTTTTCCTAAGGGATTCCAATGTCAGCTGAGTGACCATGTGTTCTAGGTCTGCATATATGCAAGTCTGAGATGGTCTGCCAATAACTATTTGGTCTACTTCAGGATTAGGCAACCTCGGCCCTCCAGCTGTAGTGGAACCATAAGGACTTACAAGATTGGCAGCCACAGGCATGACCCCCAGAGAAAGAAGCTTGATGGGATTGGTGGCTTCAGGAAATCTGGAGTGCTGAGGTTGCCTACCCATGGTCTACTGTACACCCATCTGCCTAAGCGTTGTATGTATGCTCCACTTCTCATACTGATCATGTTGGGTCTACAGGTGAATCCCAGTTGAGTTAGAGTAGTCAGGCCCTTCGTTTATTCTTCAATTGATAATACCATTGATTTCTTAGATATTTATTAAATTACAGCTAATCTTAGTTCTAACTAAAGATCATTTTTTTTAGTATACAGTATATTATTCATGGACGTGTTTTTAAAGCTGAACCCCTGGAGAGGCAGATATTCAAAATACAAAAGGCATGTCTATTGTTACATAAATCTTAATGTACTTTGTTTTGGATCTGTTCCAAAATCCACTGTGAAACTTTGTCTTTGGGGAGGAGCTTCCCTATATGTCTATATGCTTTAATTCCCTTTCGGATTTCTTTTTAAGGAATTCTGCCCCCCCACCAGGAGACTCATCTAGTGGTGATGGTACATAGGAGGGAGCAGTTTTACGATGTTCACCATGCTCTGCAGGTTATGCGTTTCATCAATGACACTACGCCCCAGACAGAGGCGTTCCTCCATATGCATCAACTGGAGATGGGTAAACTGTCCCGAAGCAGCCTTTACACTCTGGTATGCCCAATGGTTTATTATGTATTTATATAAACAATACATGTCTGCTGTGTTATTTGCGGTTGTGTAAGTCAACACAAATTCTTTGTAGATCACAAATGTTTGGGCCATGCAAAATGTCGATTGCTCAACAACAAATCTCTAGAATGGCTGCATCAGGCACCTTTCATCGACTGCAGTTCATTTATTTCTACCAACATAAATGCTAAGCAGAGTGATTATGTAGCAGCTACAGATCACTCATGTGACAAGACCTTTCGAGCGAACTATTAGAAAACCCTACTAAAGGTATAGGTGAGCTGGAGGATTTCAGACATGGCTACCTTAATAGCTGCTGGGAATCCCTGGACATTTAATGTAATGCGTTGCCCTTCGAAAAAAGGGAACTGACAACCCAGTTGTGTGCAAGCATTTGTCATAATATACCTTTTAATATTTAATTTATACTCTTTAACGGTACAATAGAGCCATAACAAGTATATATTAATTTGGTGATTGGTGTTTATAGTGTACACACTCTTTCTTTGTTACTGTAGCACAAACTTTATATTCCAGGAGCCAGAGGATGAGTTGTTCCTGGCCATAGCTAACACAATCGAGGAGATGGCCGATGATGACGTGGATTGCTATTGGCTCACCAAACATTTTGTGCATCATTTGGACACTAAGTTTAGGGATTCGCAGGCTGCGATGGTATGTATACAGTGTTCTTGTACCTAGAATGATTGTGTGAATATGGTGTCCATTATGATACTCCTCAATTATTAAACACTTTCACTGATCGAGGTGGCCGAGTCTACTTGATGAATGGACTTACTCTTCTGCACCTGACTGCTCTGCTAGCTAATTCCACACACACTCTAGTAGGAAGAAAGGTAGCACAACCCAGCATCATATAACAAGTGGCTGGAGCCCTTCCTAGATGCTCATGTAAAAAGTTTTCTGAATCTGGCTGCAGAGGATTTTATAAGCGCCCCAGACTGAACTGTGGTAGACTCTTTAGTCCTGCAGCTGTTAGAAAACCTTGCTTCACACATAGCAGATGCTCCACTACAATCTGCCTTCTTTATTAAAATGGCTGAAGGAAAAATTGTTCCTTCACCTGTATTACCCCTCAGCATCCACAGACAAATCCCTTAGAAGACGTCTCAACAAATATGGACAATTCTGCAGTTTTCAAATCTTGTTTATATAGGTGAGCCATTTGTATTTTCTCATTACATATGCAGCGTTTTCTTCTGCTTTACAGTGATGTACAATGGCTGTTCTGTCCTACTTCTCTGAATGGAAGTCTGTGAGCCGGACAAATTAAGGGAACAATTTGCTTCTTATGTAGCTGATCTTTTATCTCAACAGCTGTTAGGCAGAGTAGCTGAACATTAAAGGAGAATTATGAGGCGAGTGATTTTCACTCAGCCTCATAATCTGAGCCGACCTGTGACAATGAAACTGTCACAGGTCGGCTCAGTAGATCGGGAAATGAGCGAACACATACCGTCGCTCGCTCACTTCTCGATCTATCCCTGCAGAGAGCCGAGACAGTCACTCACAGCTCCCTGCAGGGATTCCCCCTCCCCGATCCTCCAGCGATGGCTGGCGGAACGGACGGATAGGCAGAGCCAGCTGTCAATTCCGCAGCTGGGTGGATCTCGACAGCAATGTCGGGATCAGTTCCGGCTGCGGCGTCTCAGTATACCGGGAAAGGTATACTGAGCTTTGGGTGACGGGAGAATGCTAGTTTGTGTCCTCCCGTGACCCTTAGGAGAACTATGTGGAAAAGCCCTAACCCCATAGTTCTCCTTTAAGTGTTGGCTAATATAGTAGCTAATCCACCAGTCAGAGTTTTCTGGCCTCTCTTGGAGTACACATGCAGAAAAAATATAATTACTACAGCCAGTTGTGTTCCGTAGCCTATTGGGGGCACAGGCCATGAGATTCCATGTCATGCTGGGCACCAGGCTAACTACACAGTTGACATTTCAGCAATTCAGCTGCTATGTCGCCTCTCTGCCTCCAACTTGTTTACTGGACAATGATTGAGCCTCCTCAGCTCTGTCCGTTTAGTGTAGAGGTGATCCAGCAATCGGTAAGACTGGAAATAGTAGTAGTATGATAGTCTTGGCTGTGCAGTGTGTAAAGGTGCCCATACACTGCACGATTATCGTACGATAATCGTATGCGATCGGTTTTTCGTACGATAATCGAGCAGTGTGAACGGAGACGTGCGACCGTTTCTACTGTACGGTCGCACGTCTTCTGTCGAACCAGCATGTTCGAAAACCAGCCGGGAATCGTACGATTCTCGGCTGGTTAGAACGGTGCTCGGAAGATAAATGCTGAACGGGCCGGTGTGCGCACGCGCACACTGCCCGTTCAGCATTGCGGTCATCGGAAGCCCGCCCCTCAGGGGGGTGGGCTTGCGATGATCGAGAGTGCGATCTGCCTGTCCAAGATAGACAGATCGTACGTTTTTTAAATCCCTTTACAACCATCGCAAGACTAAAGTCTTGCGATGGTTGTACAGTGTATGGCCACCTTAAGAGGTGTGTGAATCCCAAAAATGGCTGATCAAACTTCTAGATCAATTGGCATGTAAAACAGTAAACAAATATGTAACTGCTCCAGATTCTGTCTGCACCAGTTTTGCTAGCTTCCCTCCCTTGAGTGGTGAGATGTCTGCCTGTTCTGTCCCATATACAATGTTAGCAGGAACTAGTGTAGTTTTGTCCACAATTCAGCTGCACACTCTTGTGAAATATTCATTGCTTTTTCTCCATAGAGCAGGGAAACATTAGTGTCTGCCAGCAAGCTGGAAAATGTGTGCCTGTTTTAATGAGAGCTCTTTACAAAGAATTAACACTCATTTCCAAGAGATGCTCGACTCGCTTGCATGGATTGGGTGATGTGTGACCATGTGTGGAGAAGTGGAGATAAATGAAGGTCTGTAAGTGGCATCAGCAGGGTCTGTTTTTTATTCCATAGTGTCCATCTATTTTCATGACAGCGAGCGATTGTGTCAGGCAGCAATGATGTGCAATGTACAGTAACCCACAGCACATCACTTTTTTCAGTCATCAATGTATCATTCGGCACTTTGCACATTTGTTTTATTAAAAAAAAATCTTTTTGCTGTCCCTGTACACAATGATTTTATTTTTCAGCAAAAAGGATTTGAGCATTACTTAAACTTAGAGGACAGCAGACTGATGGCTCATCTGAAGGTGTGCAATGCTCTAGAAAAGCTCCCGTATGACTTGTGGTTCCGGAAGTGCTTTGCAGGTTGTTTACCGGCATCCAGCTTGCAAAGGTACGCATTTTATATGACATTACTTGTCAAACGAAGCTATTTTGTGGTTGGGTCTTAAAGAATCAGAAAATGTTACCTTGACTACCACCCCTCTCCTTCCAGTCCAATCAGCGGCAGCATTTGTGGTTGGGAGGGGGGTGCTTGGGTGTACTGGGTTCACATCAAGCCCAGACTCATCACTAATGTTAAACCGTTGAATCCCTCATGGGTCTGCATTTTTTTGTCCACCTCAGGTAAAAAGCCTTAAAGTCAGGGGTCCTAAAGTACCGGGCCACGCGCTGCAAATGACTGGTTATTTTAGGACCACAGGCACGGCCGTCAGTAGGTGGGTAGAGCCGGCCCTCCTGTATCGGGCCCCATCAGGTCATCTTTTGCAGCAGCCAAGGGGGTAGCTAGGGTGGCCGCCTGTCTGGGATTCAACCGGACAGTAACAGGCAGGCACACTGGCAGATGTGATGCTCACTCTCTCTCCTGGCTGTCTTTCCTCACTCTCTCTCCTGGCTGTCTTTCCTCACTCTCTTCTGGCTGTCTCTCCTCATTCTCTCTCTCTCTCTCTCCTGACTGTTTCTCACTCTCTCTTCTGGCTGTCTCTCCTCATTCTCTCTCTCTCTCTCTCTCTCTCTCCTGACTGTTTCTCACTCTCTCCTTGCTGTCTCTCCTCACGCTCTCTCCTTGCTGTCTCTCCTCACTGTCTCTCCTCACTCTCTCTCCTGGCCGGTTCTCCTCACTCTCAATCCTTGCTCTCTCTCCTGGCCGGTTCTCCTCACGCACTCTCTCCTGGCCGCTTCTCCTCACGCACTCTCTCCTGGCCAGCTCTTTTTGCTTATCCACCTGGCTGTCTCTCCTCGCTCATCCTCCGCGTTCTCTCTCCTGGCTGTCTCTCCTTATGTGGCCCCCTTGGAAGAAGAAAACGTGCCCAGTGGCCTCCAGGTCATTTGAGTTTAGACCCCTGCCTAAAATAAATATGTCTCTAAATATTTGTGTATAGGTGTCTTCTATGTCGGCTGTGTGTGTTTGTGTGCGTGTGCGTGTGCGCATATTGTTCTTTATACAGGACACTGTGTTTTACTTTGGTAGCTAGTTTTTGCTGCTGATCAGCGATGCCTCGTCTTCTAACACCCGCTATTCTTCTCAATTGTCTGTAGGGTTTGGGACAAACTTGTTAGTGGATCCTGTAAGATTCTTGTGTTTGTTGCTGTGGAGATTATGTTAACTTTTAAAATGAAAATGACGACCCTAAATAAATCAAACACTATGAATGAATTTTTGGAGAAGGTAAGAAAGTCCACTTTACTATGTGTCTATTGGGACATGCTCAAAACAGAGTGATGATTGTTATGCTGTTCACCAGAACCTTAACACAGCCTAGCCTTCTCTGCCAAGGCGTTATTTTGCTTACATGATGCAATCCACGTTAGGCCTGAAAATGACTTAAAATGCCCCAAGAGCTATATATTTCCTGAAAGCGCAGGCACTGTAGAATAAAATTGTGGCAGTTGCAAATTTTACGTTGCATGATATTAGTGCAACTCTTTATCAAACCCAACATTTCTGTAAAACACTTAATTTTAGTGCACAAAAAGAAAAATAAAGTTTCAAAAATAAAGTAAAATAAATGTAAAAATACAAAAACATTTTTCAAGTCCCCCACCGCTGAAAATGTGCGTATAGTAATGTAAACAGGTGTCTGGTGCGTCTATGTATTAAAACAACGATTGTGCTACACATTTTAGGTATCACTACGTCCACCAGAGTGACGGCAATAATTCTAGGAGCAATATTCAAGCTTAACATTAAATTAATTACCTGTACAGGCTTCTAAAGCGTCGACTATGGACAATTTGGGGTACCGTATTTTGTCACCATTTCTCAGGTGCATGCAATGTTGGGTATCTCTTTAATACCCATTTTTTGTAAAATATTAAAGAGGAAGTTATGCTGAGTAAATACCCAACCTGCCAAGCGTAAAAATTACATGCGCCCGTGAAATGGCAACAAAATACGGTACCCCAAATTGTCCATAGGCGTCGCTTTGAAAACCTGTATAGGTCATCAGTTTAGAGTTAACCGTGAATATTACTCCTAGAATTATTGCTGTCACTGTGACGCACGTAGTGATACCTAAAATGTGTAGCGCAATCGTTGTTTTAATACGTAGACGCACCTGACACCTGTTTACATTAGTATACGCACATTCGCAGGGGTGGGGGACTTAATTTTTTTTTTTTTAACATTGATTTTACTTTATTTTTTAAACTTTATTTTTCTTTTACCTAATTTCCTTGCTATCACACAAGGTGGCGCACAAGCCCCCTATGTGATAGCATATTAGTGGTGACAGGTTCTCTTCAAAGTGACATTGAGGGTCTATTAGACCACTAGTGTCACCTTTCTACTTCAAAGAAGCTTTTTAAGCGCAGATCGTGCTCGACTAGCTTATTCCTGGCTTCTTTAGCTGAGGATTGACAGCTGTGGAGCTGTAAGTGATGCAGTCAGCGTCGCTTCCATCTACATTCAGTGGAGAGGAGATTGGTGAACTGATGTTCGCCAGTCTCTTTCCTCTACCCCTCCAACATCCCTGATGTCTGTCCTGGGCCCACAGGAGGTCCCCATGGTCCCTGTATGTGTTGTGAATAAGCCACCATTCTAAGCTCGTTCCTGTGATGGACTACAATCTCAACAGGCCCGGATTTCCCACAAGGCCACCGAGGCCCGGCCTCGGGGTGGCAGCGGTGAGCTCTAACCCCGCCGCCCTGCCATCTGGTTGCCATTCACAATTGATGGGGACGGGGGGTTGGCGGCGCGGGGGGGTCGTATTGTGGAACCTGGCCTTGGGGCGGCAAGGAGAGTAAATCCGGCCCTGAATCTCAATACAAATTTGTAAACTAAATGTGAGATTGTAGTCCATCACTGGAATGAGCTTGGAGCGGTGACTACTTTGCAACACACACAGGGACCATAGGGAACAAAAGTAGCCACCCTCCAGAAGGAACAACAGTGTCAGCACCAATTCAGAGATGATTTGAGGGCCTACAGTTGAGTGATACACAAATAAGATACAGTTTTATTAATGAGGTACTTGAATGCTTTTCTTAAGATTTAACTCCTGAGTTTAGTGTCACTTTATCTGAATAAGCTGAAAATAGACGCTGATTGGTTTCTCTGCACAACTGCTCCAGTTTCTGCCTGCTCTAGTCTTAGTAAATTCCCCCGTTGTTCCTACAGAGAATGTACTGCAGCCAGGCAAAGGCAAACCACATTTCCAGGAGCTAAGCAATGGCTTCCTCCATGTTTCTTTCAGTATATTTTTCCTGATGGCAGGCATAATTCTTTTGCTGTCTTTAACACTCTTTTGTTCTCCTCTAGATTCCAGAAGACAACACAGATCAAATTGTGAATAAAGCTATAGATTTGTGGCATAAGCACTGTGGTATTCCTGCTCATTCTGTATGAAGATTCTATAACAGATGGTCACCGTGTTTTTTGTATATATCTGTTCAGATGCCCACCTCCCATTGGTTATTTATAACTTGTATATTGACTATTAAAGCGTAAATATTCAGACTTTCCATGTATGTTTAGCTTGACTCTTTCCATGTGTCTTTTTAATGCAGCATTCAAACAAACTACTCACCTGAAAAACATATACAGTGGCTTGCAACAGTATTCACCCCCCCTGGCTTTTTTCCTAGTTTGTTGTATTACCACCTGGAATTTAAATGGATTTTTGGGGGGATTTGTATCATTTGATTTACACAACATGCCTACCGCTTTGAAGATGCAAAATATTTTTTATTGTGATGCAAAAAAGAACAGAAAACCTGAGCGTGCATGACTATTCACACTTGCCCCTCAAAGTCAATACAGCTGCAAGTCTCTTGGGGTACGTCTCTATAAGCTTGGCACATCTAGCCACTGGGATTTTGGCACATTCTTCAAGGCAAAACTGCTCCAGCCCCTTCTTTAAGTCATGCCACAGATTGTCAATTGGATTGAGGTCTGGGCTTTGACTGAGCCATTCCAAGGCATTTACATTTTTCCCTTTAAACCACTTGACTGTTGCTTTAGCAGTATGCTAAGGGACATTGTCCTGCTGGATGCTGAAACTCCGTCCTAGTCTCAAATGTCTGGCAGACTAAAACAGGTTTCTCCTAAGAATTTCCCTGTACTTAGCACCTTCCATCATTCCTTCAATTCTGACCAGTTTGCAGTCCCTGCTGATGAAAAACATCCACACAGCATGATGCTGCCACCACCATGCTTCACTGTGAGGAGAATCGTGTTCCAAGGGTGATGAGAGGTCTTGGGTTTGCGCCAAATGTAGCATTTTCCCTGAACACCACAAAGCTCCCAGACTTAGGTGGTGTCACCATCAATTCAGTGAATGGATGATGGAACGATATGGATTCCTAATCTCACAAGAATACACTGCTGTACAGTGATGGATATGGCATCCCTTTTTTTCCCCCCTTATAATGCTGCATTTGGCATGGGGTGGGATCCCTGATTAAATAAATGGACCTTGCTTTTTAGTGCAAGATCACAGCTTTAGGTGACTTCTTGGCTTTCATGTGCAATCTGCTCACAGCTTCACCCTACCTCTCCTGCACACAACAGAAAAACACTGCACCCTGTCGTGATGTAGTATTTACTTTAATCCACAAACCTTGATCAGAAAGGCACTCGCATTTAAATAGAGTGTGGGTAGGCTTATCTGATTGTGGAAGCATAACTGGAGAACACTGCCTGGCCAGCATTTTACAAAAATTCCTCAGGTGCAGATGTGTGTCAGAAATTCTGCGGAGCCGAATGCCCTCTGTTGCATTCCCAATCCCTGTTTAATCCTCTCTTACTGCCATTGGAAACTCCACCTTCATGGTCTATATGTTTATATATGAAGTTCAAATCACTTCCTTTCAATAATATTTTTGTCTGTTTGTCACTTATTTACTGTTTGTTGGTTTGCACTGTTTTATTAATTATATGTGTGTGTGTGTGTGTGTGTGTGTATATATATATATATACACTATCTATCTATCTATCTATCTATCTATCTATCTATCTATCTAGAGATATTTGCCGACGTATGAGACGACCCCCCACTTTTTGTGTTAAAATATAGGTTGTGGGCTATACTCGTCGTATAAGACGAGTATAGCCAAAAATAATGTTTAAATGCACCCACTAACATCCATGGTGGTATTCCCGAGTGTGGCTCGGGGTTAATTTTCAGTACCATAAGCGGTAACCCCGAGCCACACTCGGGATTACAGGCTCTTACCTTGTCCACGATCCCCGCAGTGTCCTCCATCCTCCGCGTTCCGTCCTTCAGCTACATACAGTATACCGCGCTGAGCCAATCACGGCAGGCTTTGTATTCATTAATACAGGCCAAAGCTACATACAGTATACCTGGCGTATAAGATGACCCCCAATTTTCGGCTGATGTGTTTGGGTTCTAAAAACCCCTCTTATACGCCGGCTAATACGGTATATAATAATGTGTATGTGTTTTATTAATTTTTATTTTTAAATACTTTTTTGACCAGCTGACCATATCTCTGCACATGATCAGAAAAAATAAAATGTATTAGCTTGTTCATAATAAGAGATACAAAGAAACACCTAAAAAAAACCTTAAAAGATTTACACTGCCTGGGCAAAAAAAGTCAGCCCCCGAATTTGGGGCAGTGTTATGATCTGGGGTTACATCAGTTGGTCAGCTCTAGCTTCAGCAATATTATGTCTCCAAAAAATGAGGTCAGCTGCCTACCTGTATATACTGAATGAACAGGTTTTTCCATAAATTGATTTTTTCTTTCCTGATGGCACGGGCATATTCCAAGATGACAATACCAGCATTCATCGGGCTCAAATTTTGAAAGAGTGGTTCAGGGAGCATGAGACATCATTTTCACACATGGATTGGCCACCACAGAATCCAGATCTTAACCCCATTGAGCATCTTTGAGATGTGCTGGAGAAGACTTTATGCAGCGGTCCCATCATCTAAATATTGGAGTTTATGACTGTTTTTTTTTTTTGGCAAGGCAGTTTATATATGCACTATAAGGAAATATAGAAGTCTAGAAGGTGGGGGGAAATGTGTGTGCGTCTTACGGAGTGAATCCCTATTGCCCGATGCCTGGAACATGCAGTTTCGGGCGCCGGGCGAGTAGTTTTTTGTACATTGTACATCCCGTGATGACGGGATAGGAGCTCACCATAGAGCCCCTAGAGCAGACAAAGAACGTCCGTTCTTTGTCTGCTCTGTGTGATCACTGAGACCGTGGCGCTGTAATCACAGCACTAACTGCAGCTTCTGTCACAGAAATGGTCACAGAACCTGCCTGCGTCCTATGGTCCGGTGCGCCTTATGGAGCGCAAAATATAGTATGTGTGTTACACTGGTACTCCAGTGGTGATTATATACATACATACATACAAATGATCATGACTTTGATCTTCACTTAGAGACCTGATTTTCGGTATCCTGTTTTGTAGCTCAAGTAACTTTTTTGTGTCTGTTTTCTTTCAGAAACTGCCAAATAAAAATGCTAAAATACTTTAAATAAAGATGTACATAAATCTGATCCTAGATAAATAACTAAAATTATATGTAAAGAGAATCTTTAATAATAGCAGGACAATGCTAATTTCATTCCTAAAACTATTATGTACTAAAATGTGAGGGTTCCAATTGATCATTTGCTTTTTACCTTGGCAAGATATGTTGTGAAACTACATGTAATGGTTCTGAAAGGCCATTGGATGGAGACAAACCTCCTCCTTTTCATAGTTTCACAACATATCCTGTCAAAGTGAGAGCAGATTATCAATGGGAAACCAAATTAAAATGAATAACCAGGTGAAATAAACACAATAAACTAGAAGACGAAACACTGTAGAAGGTGGTACGATCCGGGATTCTAGCAGTGTCTCAACATGGGAAAGGTATTTCAGCTTGTCTTCTTCTTGTATCTGCTGTTTATCTGTCAGTGTGTGTGGCTAGCAGCCTCTGTGTACACTGAGTGGCCAGAATATTATGACCACCCCATCAGTACTTCGTTGGGCCGCCTCGTGACTCCACGAGATTTTGAAAGGTGATGCGAGGAATCTGACACTGCACTGTTGCCCTTCTGTTGTCTTGTACCAGTCTTGCCACTCTCCGTTCTGCCCTAACATTGACTAGTCGCTGACGGCCACAATTCGCACATTCAGACCCAGATTTTCGGCTGACAGTCCAGTCTTTAAACACTTTAACAACAGCTGGTCTTGAACATTTAACGAATTCTGCTGTTTTGCCGATACTCGCTCCATGGCTCCGAGCGCCAACAATCATCCCACGTTCAAAGGCTGTTAAATCGCGTTGTTTACCCATATCTTCAGAAAAAAATCACTTCTACTGTCATGGTAAACAACCTGCTTCCCTATTTATAATGGTCTGGCCCTCTAGCAACTTCAGCGCGAAATTATAGCTAATTTGCCTACAAAGGTCAGGTGGTCATAATAATATGGCCACTCAATGTATATCTATACATATTGTATAGCTCTCTCATGCCTTTTTGCAGTCCTCCAACAGTTTAATTCATTTGAATGAGACCCCTGGCTGCTTTGTATTCCCTTACACAGTTTTGCAGCTACAATCTCTGGAAAGGACCCATTTTAGATCTAAAATATTTTAAGCTGAGATTTGTTTTATCTTTACTTTCAAGAGGCATTGCAGGGAAAAAGTTAAATAAATCTGCTGTAATCCAGAAAATATTACATCTATGCTAATTCAGAGTTTGATATAACTCCAGTGCACTGACCACACTGAGCTTTGCTCCAGACGACCTCACCCAGCAGCAGCTCCTGGTAGTTGGCAGCACTGAACTTGAGAAATGCAGTGGTGGGTTCTCTGAGCAAGGGACTAGACTTGTGACTGTCATCAGTGAAGGCGAGACAGCAGCCGGGCTTCACTTTGATCATGCTTTTCCCCTCTTTGTGTCTCCAGCAGATGATGGGGAAGGTAGTCCTCCTATGCGTGTATGAAGCAGATGATGGGGAAGGTAGCCCTCATCTGTGTGTATGAAGCAGATGATGGGGAAGGTAGCCCTCATCTGTGTGTATGAAGCAGATGATGGGGAAGGTAGCCCTCATCTGTGTGTATGAAGCAGATGATGGGGAAGGTAGCCCCCCTATGTGTATATCTAACAGCCTGCAGTGGGGTTCTGGCAGCATCGATGGCCAGGTCAGACAGAGACAATTTTCTGGATGGTAAACGATGGCCAACTCTGGCAAACCTACCAGGATCGCAGTGGTGACATGTGCGACTGGGCCCTGGCAAGTTTAACCACTGCGGGAGGGAGCGTTGGCCTGCTGCATGCTAGGAGCTGTAGTCCCATGAGGCAATGTCAGTGTCTCAGCGGTTACCAGGCCCAGAAAGAAACAAGAGGGTCTGGGCTCAGTGACCTCTTAGGTTCCGACATTGCTTCCTGGGACTACAGCTGCCCGCAGCTCCCTCCCGAGTGGTTGATACTCATACCATTGTGTTCTACCCCCTGATCGTCAGCTCACTCCTTATACCC